GAGAAAAAATTATTAGATAGCTAGGACTGGGATTCGAACGCAGAACCTTCCGAAGACATGTCGGCTACTCTACCATTTGAGCTATCCGGTCTATACTAAATTAATCAAAAAAAAAAGTTAATGGATAAAAAAGTCAGGTTAACCTAAAAATTTACCGCTGTTTGATCTTAAAACCTGGCGGTGGTATAACCTAAACGCCTAAACGTGGAAAAATAAAGAAGTTTTGGTAAAAAAAATCGGATGTGAATTTTTGCAGATAATAGTTTCTTAAGGTTTAAGGTTTAGGGGTGGCGACCGAGAAGCATGTTCCGTGTTGGTAAAATGACATGAGGTAAAAATAAGTGGTAGCATGGTCTGTAAAGGCAAAGTCTGAGCCCAGTTTCCTAACTTGGCAATATTGACTGTCATGTCCTGGACTAAAAAAATACAATTGACAAGTAGGCGGCTCAAACACTATGATAGTGGCTTGAATGAAATGTATCCTACGCTAGTAACACATCGATGGAGTTGTTTTCAGTTCCAGAGTTTTTATTTCTAGATTCTTAGCTTTGGTCCATCGAATGATTAACTCTTGACTAGAAATAAAAAAGAAAATTTTCTCAACCTAAAAGTACCGGGATACGTTCTTCTGAGATTTAACACAAAAAGAAAAACAAACTAAAAATTGATGCTACTAAAAAATGAGGTTCTGTATTGCCATTTTTTCTGTTTACCTGGTAGGGTTTAACTAACAGCTAGTGATTATAGGATTCAATATTCTCTACATAAAGTATTGATTGATTTTCCTGCCTAGTCAAGTCCAAAAAAACTCACAAAATAATTTCGGTCAAAAATTTGAAATTTACTCAAAAATTAAGTTTTCCATTGTTATTTTTTTCTTCTGACCTATATGAGCTTAACTCTCAGCTGGCGATGATAGAAAAAATTATTCTCTACAAAAAAGTATAGAAGTATTTTATGTCTAATCATGCCCAAAAAAAAAATTACAAAATGATATTGGTCAAAAAAATTAAAATTTACAATGTTACGTGTGAGCCTAGGATTGTGGTACGGAAAATTGTATTGTTGAAGCTCTTCAGCAAAGTCTACGTTTTCATCATGATGATAATTTAGCTGGTTGGAAAAGTTTTATTAAAGGCAAAAGTACGTCTAATCAGCGTATAGAAAGTTATTGGTCTCAACTTAGACGTCATGGTTTGGATTTTTGGATCAATTTATTTAAAGATTTACGCGAGAGAGGTCTTTATAATGATTCATCAATATTACATGTTGAATGTCTACGCTTCTGTTTTGGGCATTTAATTAGAGCTGAATTGAAAATGACAGTCCCACCAACCGTTGTTCGTAAAGAAGTAGACATTTTCTTGAATTTACTAAGACCCAAGTCGCAAACTTTTACGGTTCCGTTTTCATGTAACAAAATATTTGCAGGCTTTATGTCACCGTGAATTATTGGATTGTCCTTTAAATGTAGATAATTTATAGCCTGACAAAACTGTTGAGCAATTTTATGTTTTTTTATTAGAATTAACACAGCTGCTGCTTCTTCGAATTCGTTATCAAACAATACATCATAGAGAGAATTACTGTGGAAGAGTTCCATCAACAAGTGTATAGAATTTTTATCGATACAGTATGCCATTAACTGTATGATGTTTGGGTGTCTAATATCCTCCAGTACTTTGATCTCTCTGCAGGCTAATTTCAAATTAGCACCTGACAGATTTATACTTTTAACTGCAACATCAAAATTACACCACTTTCCTTTTTTTACTTTTCCTTGAGCACCAGCCCCTAGTATTTCCTGGAAAATTTTAAATGATTCTCTTTCAATTGGTTTAATGGAACCATTCATAACATTTGGTAATATTTGAAGAGTGTTAGCCTGTAGAGTAGATTCACGGAATTTATTGTTTTCACTCCATTTGAAGTTACTTGATATCAACTCAAGATTCTGTGATTTACATCTTACAATGCATTTATAAACAGAATCTTCGTCAATATCATTTATCCAGTACTGTAATAAGCCTTCGCTGACAATTTTATCATCCTTATACCAACTGAAAATTGGTTTACAGGAATCAGTACAGTTAGTTATTACTCCTACGCCATTTTTTTCTTCACATCTTCCATGAAATTCATTTACATCATATAATATATAATGGTTGTCATCATCAAGAATATCCGCTGCTGGGAAATTATAGTCTCTGGACAAATCATCATTTGATGTATATATTAATAACAATACTCTGTTATCAACTTCAATTTCAGCTATTTCATGGCCAGCATCAATCGGATTAAATTCAGCAATTGGTATACAACCATATTCATCAAATTTATGGTTGTATAAATCATTTTTTAGTAGATAACATATGCAATAATCTTGAGTGTACTCGGACTGACTGATCACTTCATAAGTAATAAAAATATTATTTTTTAAAGGTGCAGAATTTTTGTGAGAAATTGCTGTTGATCGTTTTAAAACTTTATTACGCTGAGATAATTGAGGGTTAGGATTTTCGTGATGAGAATATTGGATAGTTTTAAGTTGATCACATGTCTGAGCACATTCTTTTGGAGACGTTATTATGTACAAGGTAAATAATCTCGACTTCTGCTCTTTTAGAAAAGTCCATAAGTCACAGGCAATACCCTTGCTGTCTCTAAAACTAGTTAAGACAGTGCGATCAATAAGGCCAAGACGTACATCGGAATTGTGGAATGATACTTCGCTATTGCAAGAAAACTCCTCCATCGCAATTTTTTTTATATCACTAACTAAATATCTCTTGCCTACTTCTAAAGGTACTTCTCTGACTCCACCTAAAGGTTTCTTCATTTGCTCATAACGATCTCCTCTTTTTACGAGCCATCCAAGTCGTACTTTTTTTAATGTAGGTTGTGCTGAGACTACAGTAGAATCAGCCCACTTGTTCTGTAATTAAAAAAAAAAAAAACATGTTAAATCTAATTAACGATAAAAATTACGAATAAACAATTAAACAAAAAAAATGTACACCTTCATTTTCGTCATATGAGTTTTAGAAGAATTTACACCTTGGCCAAGTTGAATTTTATCTATCATTTCATGGACTAATTTTCTTTTCTTGCTGGTAATAGAATTTTTTAGATCTGTAAAAAAATATGAATAATAATTATAAGTTCTTAAAATAATTGTAGGAATTTATTATTATTTTATAAAACTCGAATAGAAGTGTAAATAATACCTTGTCCAACGTGTACATCATAATGCTCAATTTTACGATTAATTAAAATTTCTTCTGATTCAATGGGCAAGCCACATTTTTCATTATTTACAGAATAGGTTAACCCAGATGCTTGGGGAAAATATTGTTTTAATACAGATAATTTTAAATTCCCTTTTGAATTTAAAGGTAATGAAAGCTCTTGATCATCAAATCGAACTTTAATAAATTCTGGATCCATAATGATATCAAATTAACTAAACTGATTTAAAGCCAAGCCAGCTCAGAACGAAAACGGAAGTAAGACATTTTTTTTTCATACACAAATTCAAATTCTGAGTTTCCATGTGGACTAAGCAAGTGGCGCTACCGCCTCCAAGCTAGTCAAAATCAGTTGATTCGTTCGAGAGATATTGTGAACGAAAGAAAACCGAAAAAACTGTTTCTTCGGAATTGCTCCGAAATTCCTAATTCGATAAATTCAAACTCAAAAATTCCTAATGAGGCTGAAAAAACTGCGTCAAATGCCCCCAACTGCGTAAAAATAGATTAATTCATTCTAAAGTTATTATGGTTTGAAAATTCAAAAAATAGTGTTCTATGAAACTTACATGAGCTCGAAGAGCTCAAAAGCATAGAATAGCAATCCGTTTGAGCTCTTAGAGCTCAAAATTGATGGATTCAACAAATAATTCTTCGAATAAAATAAAGGATGTTTATTAAAAATATACAAAAAAAATTAGTAATTGTGAAAATGATAACTTGGAGGCTCACGTGCAGGCGCACGGGAAAGAAAACGGTTACAATCATTATCATCATAAGCATTTACATTATATTTTTTAAATTTCTTAAAATAACGATGCACGACTTTGTAGGCTTCATTTCTCATCTTCCGCTTCTGCCCTCCGTTGCTCCCTCTTTTACATTGCATCTGATCTGTAAAATATAATAATATAAGTAATGTAAAATTTAGGAAAATTCAAAAGTGCATGCCTCATAACGCTCATTCATTTTTTAACCAAAAAATAAATTTTTTTATTGACTTTTACAAGAAAAAAAAATAATTAAGTAATTTTTCAAATTTATGTAATGATTGAAAAAAAATTTTTTTTTCAAAAATCAATCCTTGTAGAGAATTTATTCAAGTTCTAAAAATCAACTTTAAATTTTCTGTGCTATCATTGGTTGCTGAGATATTGGTAATCAAAGACAAAATGATCTTTTTCCATTCAAATACCGATATCTCAGCGAGAAATGTTTGTATCGAGATTTTTAAAATACCAAATTGAAGCTGAATAAACAGCTTTCTTAAGATTAATCGACAAAAAATTTTAATAAAAAATTTTCAAGCTCAAATCCAAAAACTAAACACTTAGAGCTACAATTTGCCTTTGTTTATTTGCTGTAAGACCATTTTACTACAAGTTACAGCCTGTTGAAAATCCCCCAAAAATTTTGATTTATATATATATATATATATATATATATATATATATGCTCACCCCCACCTCTTCCTCCACGGCCACCTTCTCCTCCACCTCTACCTCCTCTTCCACGTCCACCTCTTCCTCCACGACCACCTTCTCCTCCATAGCCACTTCCTCCTCCTTTACGGCCACCTCCTGCTTCATGGCTATCTTCTCCTTCACCGCCACCTTCTTGTTCATAACTACCTTCTCCTTCACGGCCATCTTCTCCTCCACGTCCATCTTCTCCTTCATGGCCACCTTCTCCTTCATGACCACCTTCTCCTTCATGACTACCTTCTCCTTCACGGCTACTTTCTCCTTCACGGCCACCTCCTCTTCCTCCACGGCCACCTCTTCTTCCTCCACGGCCACCTCCTCCCCCTCCTCCTCCACGGTCACCTCCACGGCCACCTCCTCCTCCACGGCTACCTCCTCCTCCACGGCCACCTCTTTCTCCACGGCCACCTCCTCCTCCATGGCCACCTCTTCCTCCACGGCCACCTCCTCTTCCACGGCCACCTCTTTCACCACCTCCTCCTCTTCCTCCTGGTTCAACTCTTCTGCCATCGCTCCCTTCATCTACTTCTTCATCATCGCCACTCTAAAAAAAAAAAAAATTAACAAATTATACTGCACAATTCTTTACAAGGCTTGTGCAAGACTGCTCTTAAGTTCGGTAGTTGTAAGTGTCGTGTTCTATCTAGCGGACTTGTAGCAGATAATTATTACAGGTAGAAATTGCCGATGTTGTGCAAATCTACCACAAAAATTCGACTCGGTCTTATCACAACAAATTACATATCTGTGTCTATTCCTTTTCAAGCCATGTGCAAGCATTTGCTGCATGCAAGATTCTTCAGTTAACTTGACATCGAGTTTGCCGTAAATTTTTACAGTACAACAGTTGTAAAAAAATTTGAACTAAAATCTACAGCCCCAATTTGAATGCAAGTTAATACCGAACTTTTGGTTAGATTGTACTACAATTTTACTACAACTTGAATAAAATACTTGTACTGCAAGTCTTGACGTCAAATTGCAGTGTAACTTGTAGACAACTCAAGTCAAAACGTTTGGTTTGCAACTTTTTTCATCAAATTGGCTACAAATTTCGGCAGTAGATTGAATAAAAGTTTGAGTTAAGACGGCTATCAGGGTCTCGCTCAAGATTTTTATTTGATTTTATGTTTCTTGGGAAGGAACTTACTGATGAATGTTTAAGGTAGTGCGGTTATGAAAAAAATATTTTAAGAAATCCTCGAAACTTTTAATATATAAGTCATTAAATACATAATACATATGCTGTTAAAATTTGAAGACGATTTACCGTACTTAACTTGAGATAATTGCAATTGAAAATGACATTTTTGTATATGTAAATAGGAGAAGCGTGGGAAACTGACAGTATTTTTAATTTTTTCCATCGAAGGAATTTCACCACTTTATCGAAAACCTAGTAGATTGAAGAATATGATATTTCGAACAATTAAAAAAAAAAATAAAAATTATTTACCGTATAATTTTCGAGATTAATTAAAATAAATTTCACTTTTAAATAATTATTTTTAGGAGAAGGGGTACGAAAAACAGCCGCTGGTCACTGAAACCCTAGTGTGTGTGTATATTAGGGTGCTTTTTTTTTAACTATTATTTTTTTCGGTCCCATCGTGAAATTTTGTTGCGAGTACCCAAGAAAAAATACCCTGAAAGTTTGGGCCCTTAATATTAATATTAAGACCTCGACCCAGGCGTTTAAAGATTTCCCTTTTAAAAAACACAGGAACTCTGAATTTTTTGTGTTTAAATTTCGTAGCTTTGTGGTATTTCATAGCATCGCTTTGACCATGGACGGGTTTTTTTTTCAGAATTGAATGCTTTACAAAAGTGTCCATTGCTGCCAAGCCGTAACTTGAACCGGCGAGGTAGTACAGGCCTCTAAACTTGATTTTTCCATGAAATTCGCGTTTTTTCGTAGTTATCTCGTGAATGACAAGATCTACAGAAAAAAAGTGAACGACAAACTTGTAGAATATTTAATTTTCTACAAAAAAGGTTCTGAGCACTAAGTCGCTAAAATCAAAATTTTCAGAGACATTTAATGATCAATTTTTAGTAATTTCAAATGTTTATCGAAAATTGCGTCAAATTATAAAAAATATCTTTTAAAAATATAATTAAATATCTCCGAAAATATTGATTTTAGCGACTTGGTGATAAGGACGTTTTTTGTAGGAAATTAAATTTTCTACAAGTTTGACACTCACTTTTTTTCTGTAGCTCTTGTCATTCGGGAGATAAATGCAAGGAAACGCGAATTTCATGGAAAAATCAAGTTTAGAGACCTACCTCGCCGATTTCAGTTACGGCTTGGCCGCAATGGACACTTTTTTAGAGCATTCAATTCTGAAAAAAACCCGTCCATGGTCAAAGCGATGCTATGAAATGCCACTGAGCTACAGAAATTTAAACAAAAAAAATTCAAAGTTCCTGTGTTTTTTAAAAGGGAAATCTTTAAATGCCTGGGTCGAGGTCTTAATATTAATATTAAGGGTCCAAACTTTCAGGGTGTTTTTTCTTGGGTACTTGCAATACAATTTCACGATGGGACCGAAAAAAAAAAAATAGTTAAAAATAAAAAGCACCCTAATGTATATGTATAGAGAATATAGTAGTCGACGTACAGTAACGTTATAAAAACTTGACCTACAACCTTAGTTCTATCGATACGTATCACATGGATGGTGAGCTAAAATTTTTTATCTGGACTGTTGTGGAGGTACTAACCTTAAGCAACAGCTTCTTCTGCAACATCTCAATGATGCTCTGTTGCCTGTTGTAGGCGTCATGGCTCTGTTGAAGAACGTGCATTATTTTCTCTACGTCAGAGGATAACTTTTGAATAACTGAAATAATATAAAAAATTATAAATAAATTTCAAAAAAAATTATGAAAGGTGAAATCTACCTATTCACATCAGGTGTCGCCGAATGGCTTTTTTTAATGTTATGAGCCGACGATTAATTAATTTTTTATTTTTTTTTTATTCTCCAAACTACAAAAGAAATTATCAAAAGTGTGTTTTTTTTCAACTATATTTTTTTTCGGTCTCATCGTGAAATTTAGTTGCAAGTACCCAAAAAAAATTCCCTGAAAGTTTGGGCCCTTAATATTAATATTAAGTCCTCGACTTAGGCGTGTAAATATTTCCCATAAAAAAAAAATGGAAACTCTGTTTTTATCTGTAAATTTATGTATTTCAGTGGCATGTTCTAGCATCGCTTCAACTATGGACTGGTTTTCTTCAGAATTAAATGTGTTACAAAAGTGTCCATTGCGATTAAGCCGTAACTGAAACCGGCGAGGTAGGCCTCTTAACTTGATTTTTCTATGAAATTCGCGTTTCCTTGCATTTATCTCCCGAATGACAAGAGCTATACAAAAAATGTCAATGACAAACTTATAGAAAATTTAATTTCCTACAAAAAAAGTCATTAGCACCAAGTCGCTAAAATCACTAGTTTTGAAGATATTAAATGATATTTTTAAAAGATATTTCTTACAATTTGACGCAATTTTCGATAATAATTTGAAATTACAAAAAATTTATTATTAGATATTTCTGAAAATATAGATTTTAGCGACTTCATGCTAAAGACTTTTTTGTAGGAAATTAAATTTTCTACAAGTTTGTCATTGACATTTTTTTCATAGCTCTTGTCATTCGGGAGATAAATGTAAGGAAACGCGAATTTCATGGAAAAATCAAGTTTAGAGGCCTACCTCGTCGATTTCAGTTACGGTTTGGCCGCAATGGACACTTTTGTAGCGCATTTAATTCTAAAGAAAACCAGTCCATGTTTGAAGCGATGCTAGAAAATTTCACTGAAATACAGAAATTTAGAGATAAAAAATCAGTTTCCATGTTTTTTTAATGGGGAATCTTACACGCCTGGGTCGAGGACTTAATATTAATATTAAGGGCCCAAACTTTCAGGGAATTTTTTTTGTAATTTTCACGATGAGACCCAAAAAAAAAATAGTTGAAATAAAAAGCACCCTAATATATATATATATATATATATATATATATATATATATATATATATATATTAGGGTG